GATGTGTTTTTAATGCCTTCCTAAGTGATGAATGTGATACTCAATAGCAGTTTGAATAGGGTATGTAATTCCAAATGTTTTTACCGGAATACCGGAATGCACATCCACTTGTCTTGGTGCATGATTTCAATAATGTATGCTTAATGTACAAACGTAATTGTCTAGCTAGCGGGATGATATTTATGTAAAATATCTGACACGTAGCCTGGTACAGTAATGCTCATTCAGGCAAGTTCTATTCGACGGAATCCGGAATTAGGCCAGAATTCCGGATTCCGTAGAAATCGCTGCTGAAATTCGGTCTGAGTACAGAATACTTGACAAGAATGCGATGTGCTCAACTAGAGCGCCCCAACGATCCTCTCCTATATGATACCTTGTACACTGTAGTTTGATACTTACTATACAATTATTATTACCTGTACTAGAGTCAAGTAGCGTTCAATGTAGTCTGTTCAGTGTAACTAAGGTGAAACTAGTGAACGCTACTCTCAACAAACACCGGAGAAGCTAATTAACCCTATTTGGATACGAACCACACCGAGTTTACGACTCTGTTAGCCTCGCTCAACTGGTCCGTAACCAGTCTTGTGATTGGTTGTTGACATAATCTGAATAGGCCACGCCTCCGATTGTGCCGTGCTTTCGGGCAACCGTTAATTATTCATAAATGGAGCCAATTTGTGTAGTTTTCTTGATTTATTCTGCAGATATCGGTAAAATATAGTTATGGCTTTGACAAAATTTGCAAGAGCAACAAATATTCTTCCAGCTGGTATTTTTTTAGATTTTCTTTTTCATTCTGTTTGACTGATTTTTCGGGCTCCCCGTGGCCTAAGTAGAGACCATAATAGACTATGTATTACATATTTCTGTTAACAACTATATGCCGACATCACGTAATAGACTGTGTTAAATATTTCAGTAAACATAATAATAATAACAATAAAGACGTAATAAAAAGGAGCATAAAATATTAGACCTTAAATACTTGTATTTTTTATTTGAATTAAAATCAAGTAAATATATACTACTAAAAAACAATGGATATCTAAATGCACGTCACTCCATATGTTTCGTCTACTGACCAAAAAATCACTATTTTGTCCACTCCAGAATAAACCGAATATCTTTAAACAAACCTATACTGCCAACACTTCACTAATGTCGGCAACATTATTTGTAACGCTAATTTTAAATACTGAAGATCGTTAATTTTACAGAAGAGAGCATGGGGCCGAAACGTCCGCCCTCGTCGAAACTCCGGCATTCGTTGAAATGTGGGTGAACGCGTCGGGTCACGGCGAGGAAAAGTGCGTGAATGTCGGTGTTTGATTGCAAGGATAATAAAAATAATTGAGAGCGAAACACAGCAAAAATTCAGAGTGTGATTCAAGTTATTGTGACTGTTATAATTACGACATCGTATTAGAAAAATATTGACAGCCCACTTATTAGTTTATAAGTTCACAGAAGTGTAAAGTCAACATCAATCACAAAACAATTCAGAAACATTTAGACAGCGTAATTAAAGAAAATTGCGAACGTGCTTTTGCCAACGCAATTTTCTGTTTGCGACGCATCGGTTTTCGCGTCACGTCCTTAAAACCTCTTACATAACATAAACTACATGGCCTCTACAAAAAGTTATTCAGATTCTCAAAACATTTGAAACACTTACATGAGCTTGTCCGGAATCTAGTTCTTTAAAAAGTACTGTACCAGGTGTAATTTTTCCCAAACTGTTCTTTTAAAAATATGGACAGATATTCGGCGTAAGAATCTGCGGTATAAGGAGAGAGTTTATCTCAACTTTTTCGCATTGATTTTACGGCTCTTGTCTACTGATGTCACACCTTCGGAACGTTAAATTCTCACACTATTACTATACGCATTGCTAAGCCTGCCAAAAATACGTTTCAAAAAAGCGCCGACCGAAATATATATATCGTTAACAGTTTGACGCAATATTATAAAAGTGCAGCGAAAGTGTATGGCTTCCTCTCGTTTGGTGTCACCCAATTACTTAGACTAGAGTCGGAAACAGTTGCTAGCCGACTGTTTCAAAATAGATGGGCGTGGCTACAACACAAGTAATATTTCAAATTTACTCGGACACGAATAATCATTTTCAACCCAAAATCAATAACTGTCTATTTCAGTGAAAAAAAAATCAAAAATGGGAAATGTGTGGGTGGGCATTTAAGTCTTACTCAAAACATGAAAGTTATAATATGAACACACATGCATGCTCGACTGAAATGAAGTCTGGAGAATTTATAGGAAACCACAATTTATTTTGCCACCAAAATATGTGACTGGTTGTTATGGCTGGCTGTTTGGTAAACTCCACACAGAATGTTGTTCCCTGACAGCAACGACGATACATACGAATATTTGAAAACAGTGAACAGTTT